CTCACAGCAACCTCCCACTCCTGGGCTCAAGCGAGTCTCCTGCCTCCGCCTCCCAAGTAGCTGGGACCACAGGCGCCCACCACAACGTCCGGCTATTTTTTGGTTGCAGCCATCATTGTTGTTTGGCGGGGCCGGGCTGGGGATTCGAACCCGCCACCTTAGGTGTATGTGGCTGGTGCCTTAGCCGGTTGAGCTATAGGCGCCGAGCCCAAGGTCTCACTCTTTTGCTCAGGCTAGAGTGCAGTGGCTCAATCATAGCTCACAACAACCTTAAACTTCTGGTCTCAATGAATTCTCCCACCTTAGTTTCCCAAAGTGCTAGGATTACAGACAAGTGCCTTAATTAACTTTTTAGTTGAGGCAGACTTTGTCTCTGCTGCTAGACTGCAGGCTGATTTCTGGCCCCAGGTCTCCTACTTCATGAGAGCTGACGGGATGAGGGGACTGGAAAGGTAGAGCAAACCCTTGCAGGCCAGGAAGAGATTTTGGACTAAGGTAAAGGGAAGTCACTCATGGGCTTTAAGCAAAGAGCTACAATAGAACTGCTATTTCCCTAAAGCCACTTTGGCTCTAGTTAGTGATGGATTTGGAGGGACTAAGAATGAACCAAAGACCAACGGGTGGGGGACAGAGGGAAAAGAAGAGAGTGTGTGTGGGGGAGAGAGAGCTGCGGGGGTGAGAGGGGAGGAACGGAGAGAGGAAAGGGACGGGGAGAGGGAAGATATGGAAGGGAAGAGGGAAGGAGAGGAGGAGGGCGTGGAGGAGGAGAGGGGAGGATGAGAGAGGGGACGAGAATAGAGTAGGGTTAGGGTCCTTAGGGTTTGAGAACCTCCGCTATTAGACGCAGACTGGCGGCTGGCGGGAGCGCTCCGAACGCCACTCTGCACCCATCACGGTTCTGCTCCGCACGAGCTGGCTGACTGGGTCCCGGGGCGCAAAGAGCTAGTTGCGGAGCCGCAGGGCGTGGCTCGACTGGAGCAAGCGCGCGGGAAAAGCCACCTCGCTGCAGACTTACCGCAGGCCCCACAGCTCGGCCCCCGGCGCAACCCCGTTGGCGCGGAACTGTGCGTGACGTCACGTCCGGCCCCGCCCGGCTCATGGACGGTGGCCTGCGGGCCAGGGAAGATGCAGCTACCCGCAGTGCTGTGCGCCCGTCTGGCCGGGGGGTCCGCAGCGGCCGAGCCGCTGCCAGTGGAGCGGGACCCTGCGGCCAAGGCCGCGCCCTTCCGCTTCGCTGCGCGCTTGGTACGGTTCCCACGAGAACACGAGTTTTTCGAGGTGCGCGGCTCAGAAGGGAGGGCAGTTGTTGTGTCGTGGGGGGGGCTGGGCCCTCGGCAGGCGGGACCCAAGGTCTAGGGTGGGCCGGAGCCTACAGAGGGTGTGGCCTAAGGCTGGGGCGGGCCCGGAGTTCACAGGGGGTGGGGGAATGGGCGGGGTCGGAGCCCACTCTGGGTGGGGCCTAAGTCTTGTAGCGGAACTACAACCCACAGCGGGCGGGCCTACGGCCTGGGCGGGTCCCAGTCCGCGGTGGGCGGGTGCGTGAGACCTGAGGCGGGACCGCCCACCGGAGGAGGGGCCCAAGGCCTGTGATGGGGCGGGAGTTGCGATGGGCGTGGCCTAATCCCGGGGACAGTGCTTAAGTCCGGCGTGGGTGGGGCCGCGAGGCTCCCGGCCCAGCCCACTGCGCCTTTCCCCTGCAGGATGGGGACGTACAGCGTCATCTCTATCTCCGGGACGTGCTCTCTCAAGTGGCTGAGGCGCCAGAGAGGCCCAGGTGAGCTGCCGGAAGGAGGCTCCTCTGGGGCCACAGCTCTATTGACCCTGCTGTGGGAGTTTAACTCTGCTGCCCGCCGCTCACCGCACGTACTCCTCACTTAAGTCTGTTGTGGGCATCCTGTTAGTGGAAAGAGACTGGCTGGCAAGAGAAGTGTCAGAGCTTTAAGGGAATTTTCTTTTTTTTTTTTTTTTT